AAAAAAATATTGAGAAAGTAATAGGAAACATATTTATTTTAATTTTATGTATGTATGTACAAAAAATGAAAACCTTCCTTATCTAGCATCTTATCTTTGTTTCAGTAAAGCAGATGCACTATTCCATCTTTTTCTTTTTTTAAAAGCACTTAGTTGGTACTAAAACTTCAAACATTGTGGATATTTGGAGGGAAGAACTATTTTTCTAATAAATGCAAGTATAACCATTTGATGTCTTATATGCCTGCCTTGTTCTCTTTAGATTTCATAACCTAATAACCTTTACCACTGTTTATTAAAAATACCAGCATGTGCAGTAATTCAAGTCCTTACAAAACAGATTAATTACTGAAATGAACATGTAGAGAGGAGCATATATACATTTAAGCAAGGATAGAAGTAGAATGACAAAAATGTGGGTACAAAGGGTAACCAAAATCCCAATAATCAGTGGGAGTTTAGAAATTAAGGATTTAGAACAAGGAGAGGAAGAGGAAAAATAATTTCTTCCCCATCATTGCTTTGCATAACTGGGACAGTTTTGAGAACATTTTCATCCTGGTCTATTCTAGGCAAGCCTCCTTTTGCAATAGTAGATGCCACAGATCCTTAATCAAAGATAATAGTTTCCAGGGCACATATTTAGAGGAACCATTCCTTTAAATAAATAAACAAGATTTATATGTGGTTTTGTGTGCAATAGCAAGCACTTCAAATTTGGAAACATGGAGAAAGCAATAAAGTTCACAGAATGGAAATTTACTTGAATAGTTAATATGAATTCAGCAGTATTTTGTTTGATAGAATATTGGAGAGCGAACTTTCTGATTTTTAACTTTATTATGAACAAAATAAATAATGCATCTCTCCATGTAGATGTGTTGTACATAACAATTCTACATAATTTTTCAAGATTTAATTTTCCATAATTTTCCAATTTATCCAGTATTATGTAGTGATCATTTAAAATGTTGGAGGTTGGGTCATTTTTATAGGAGCCAAGTGAGAAAATGAAATCTTTGTATTATCATCACAAGTGATTCTACACTTAAAAGCTCCCATTGAAATCATTGGATCTAAATCAGTCATAACCAATGTCTCATTGATTTAAATGGAACTAATCAGTAGGATGAAATCTGTAATCAATCAGAATGAATGAAACATGGTAGGCAATGAGATACCAAATGTGCTTGAAATTACATTTCATGCATAAGTAATTGAAACATAAATATTGAAGCTATTAATTCCATATATTGGTACCATAACATAATGAACATGGAATTGGAGTTTTTAAAGGATTCAGTGGAATGTGAATGGAAAAAGAGGAGTTTTTGAACAACCTAGCAGTATAAAGCCTTAATAAATTTGAATCATGGTACACTGAAACCTCACTTGTTTGTTTAAGTTGTTTAAGTTTAGCTTTGCTTGCTAAAACCTCATTGTGGTGGCTTGCTAAAGTTAATGCCCAAAGCTGTAGGGCAGATTACACACTGTGTGTATAAAAGCTTTGAAAAGACTTAGTGTTTAAGTCATTTATTTTGTCAACTCTGGTATAGAATATTTGTTTTCAGAAGTTTAAGTATTCCCTCTGTGCTATGTTCTCATTTGTATGCTTCTCTTTGTTGGAGTTGGACAAATGATAGATATCAATCATTCCAAACATATACTGAAGTTTGAGACATGTGTTGTTGTTTTTTCTGGGCCCTATGTATTCTTAGTAGGAAATTGGCAAACTCTAATAGTTATTTCAAGAGTCCTTTTCTTGTGGCACTTGCAGTAATGAACTTTATATCTTAAAACATAATTAACATGGTTATTTCCAGTGTTTATAACACTGGACATGTGCATACTGATAGAAAGGATGCAAAGGAACCAAAAAATGTGCCTACATTTTCCTCCTTGTGACTTAGTTTTACAAATTGTCTTAGTTAAATTGGAATTTAGGAAGATGGAATAGACAACAGAGCTAAATTAATCTGCTAAGAAATCCCACCCCTTGTTTAACTGAAAAAAAAAACCTGTATACAGCTTTGTCTTTAGAGCAGTGGTTGGTTGGTTACAAAGATGTTTTACCTGACAGTTTCTGATATTCAAGAACTACCAATGATCATACCTCTTGAAACTGTAGTAATATTTTAAATCTGTTAAAATATTACGCGTAGCTCACTGTATAGTTTTAGCTTTTGTCTGTTGTCTGTAATAATATGTGACACATTTGTCAAAAGAGAACAACTTGTTCCTTGTTTTACAAGGTGACTTCGAGGTGTAACACATTCCAATATGAATGGATGAACTTCAGGAGGTTAATGACTAAGTGGGAAGAACATGATATATCATCAGCAGGGGAAGAAATTGAATGCTAGGAGTATTTGAAAGTTATTATTTCTAAAGCAGATAATTTAGTATGCACTGTGTGCATTAACTGTGAACATGTGTGTGGTTCCAAAGTGCTTATGCAAAACTGCAATCCTTATTCATGTACATCTCAAATAAAATTCACTCCAGAGAGGAAAAGAGATACAAATAATGTCTTCCAGATTATTTCTTGGTATGACACCAATTTACTAATTTAAACTATGTATGTGCTTTCTAGTGGTTTGACAAAACCTATGTTGTATAGCTGTTTTTATGGCTCATAGGTAGTTTGAGAATGGAATGGGACTGTCTCAATACAGCCCCTAATTCTCCACCGGCCTCCTGCGATTCTCTGCTGGCTATTGTTCTCAGCTGACATGCCTCCACCAATTTGCCGTGGGCAATGGGCCATGGCCACTCCATCCCACATGCTTCAGAGCAGCCGATACACAGAAGGAAGGTTCGTCCTGGGTTTTTCGACACCCGGTACAGTTAGCACCCAACAAATTGGCTAGAGTAAGGAATTCTTTAGAGTTAATAGAAATCCAACAAAAGAAGAGAGGCATACAAGAATTCGCCAAAATGCCTCCCTCCCCCCATCTTCCCCTCACCTCCTCTCTGAGGAGGAGGAGGAGGGGGTGGTGGAAGGGAGTACTTTATCCGTACTCCAAAGGGGGGGAGATGAGGCAAGGGGAAGAGAGAGAGTGGGGAAGAGAGGGAAGGCATTTTGGCAAACACTTGCACGCATCTCTCCTTTTGCTGGATTTCTATTAACTCTAAAAAATTCCTCCCTTCCACCCCTCTCATCATCATCATCATCATCATCATCATCATCATCATCATCATCATCATTATCTTCAGAATCCTGATGAGGAATCACCAGGATTTATTATCAGGAATCAAATTGCAGAATTCCATGCTTTAGGGCAACTCTTTATCTGTACTCCAAAGGGGGGGGGAGACGGGAGAGAAGAGAGAGGGGGGAAGGGAGGAAGGCATTTTGGCAAACTTTTGTACGCCTCTCTCCTTTTGCTGGATTTCTATTCACTCTAAAGAATTCCTTACTTCCACCCCCTCTAGCTGATTTGTTGAGTGCTAACTGTCCTGGGCATTGAAAAACCCAGGATGAACCCTCCTGTGTTTCGGCCGCTCCAAAGTGCATGGGATGGAGTGGTCGTGGCCCATTGTCCACAGCTAATTGGTGGAGGCATGTCAGCTGAGGAGAATAGCGGGTGTAGAATTGCCGGAGGTAGGAACGCTGGTGGAGAACTAGGGTGGCCAAGGGTACAAGATGAACAATCTTAGACCCGTTTGAGAAATATAAAATGAATATTTTAATGCTCAAAGGAGCTGATCTACTAGTGGGATATTCTGTGCAATTATACAAGATGTGCTTGCATGTGTGTTCATAATGCACGGCAATTCAGGTTTAATCAAGAATCCTAGATTTACAAGCATCCAGATTAAATATGTATGTGTACATTACTAGTTAATGTATTTGACATTGTTTGAATCTTTGCCAAGACAATACTCTTCCCAGCAAATTTTTCTACATCAGCTTGCTTATAGAGGTGGCATTTATATCTAGAATACATAATTATGAATTATGAAGTGCAGAGTTTATTTTATTACATTTTCATATGCAAAAGCAATTCCATTATTAGAATATATAGGAAGTGAATTATCAACTTGTATTTAATAGAGCTCAGCCAAAGAATTCATTACTTCGTCTTGCTGTTTTCACTTTGCTCCTTCCCTTGATTATTTTTGGGACAGTCTTCCAAATTGTTTATTCATGTAGTAAGTCTATTCTCACTGTGTGATTGTTCTTCTTTCTGCTTTTAGTCACTGTACTGTTCGCCCCGCTTTCTTTCTTCATCTAAGATGAAGACCTGCGGCATCACTTGTCATCATGTGACATAACGTGACTTTTTTTCCCCTTTGCTAAACGAGGTGGGCGTGACCAGCGCATGATGCATCTGCCCCACAGGCTGTGGGTTTGACATCCCTGATCTAAGATAACATTTCTCTTCCACTTATTTAGCTTCAAATAATGTCATGTGGTTAAATGTGATTGACTTCTCTGCAATGTGATTTGGCTCTTTTGTGACATTCAGAGAGTGTCAAATTAAAATATTTACTGATTATTCTACAAAGTAGCAACTAGAGGTTAGATGGCAAAAATGGATGCATGGAATGCAACCGTTATTGCTGCCAGAATCACAAAATAGCCCCTTCTTCAATCCTATAAAAGCTTGCTTATGAATTTTCAGTCTTAAATTTAGACCTCAGTTACCTCTAAACTTGTGTTCTTCTTCATGCCTAAACAGGCTTAAAACAATTGGTAGGTATTGTTTTGTTTGGTTAGGAACTTGAAGCATTGTGAACTGACTTGCCCAGGACTATACAAAACATTAGTAGAAGTTGTACTTGTCACGTGCAAACATTCCTGTTTGAGGAAAGTAGCAACCAGACCTCAGACCAATTATTCAAAAACTATAGGAGATGAAAGCAAATTTGGTAGTAGAGTCAGCTCTGCAATACTATGTACAGTTCAAACTTAAAATCCTTGATATGAAGTCTAATTATGCTTTTTTCCTTCTTCCCCACTATTGGACATTTCCTTCATCTGACTGCATATTTAGAAGAAATGCATATTCCTACTCCTATTACTTGTAAGTACCTAGTTGGATATAACGATTTCCTTAAGCATGCACAGCAGAGCAGCAGGATTTTGTTTCTTTGTTTATAAAATATTTTTCTTCATTTTTTTTTGTTTTACTTCAGTATTTTTAAAGAGTACCATTAATGCCCACACTATTAATATCCCCAGCCACATGTTTAAAGGGGAGAAAAATAGAGGAACACAAGAGGGTTGGTTGTGTGTGCAGTTATAATCCGTACCCTTCTCACTTGATTTTTCTTCACTAGTCTTTGACTGTCACCTCTGTCTGAATAGGCTCAAAAGAAATGAATACAGGCAAGACTGTCATTATTGTCCCTCACATTCCTGAAAATCAATACTGTGCATTCGGAGATCTTCATTTGGAAATATTCAATAGCTTTAGTTCTTTTTCTTTCTTTCTTTTCTTTTTTTGTTAATAATTTGCTATTTGGGCACCCTTTTATTCAGACTGCAGGTTGTGGGAAAGTGTCCAAAGAAGATAAGTTTGAACACTTGCATATTCACAGTTGTAATCAAGATAGAAGCAGTGAGGAAAGTAAGATCCTTAAAAATAATGGCAGCCATGTGCTTCTGGAGAAATCAGATTAGAATTGTGGTTCATGCTAGCACCTTGATTAAATATTGTTCCATTGGTCTTATTGTTTGGGGTAAAAAGAGCTATTGGTTATCTAATTCCTCAGCATCTCAAAGAAACACCTACCATATTTTTCGGAGTATAAGATGCACTTTCCCCCTCCAAAACTGGGTGAAAACTTGGGTGTGTCTTATATACCAAATGTAGCCACGCCCACCTGCTTGTCCCCAACCTTTGGCCTCTGCCTCCCAGCAATTTTCCTCCTTGCAGCAAACAGTCCATTTCAGCTTCAGCACATCCTGATTAGCACAAGCAGTTGATTGTCAGTTGGATCAGCCTCCCAACCCTCAGCTGTTTCAGGCTGCAGGGATTGTCATTGCCTATTGCCGCATGGAAGAAAATTGCTGGGAGGCAGAGACAGATTTTTTTTCTTGTGCTAATCAGGCTGTGCTGAAAATGAAAATGAAACTAAAGCAGGCTGTTTGCTGTTTGCTGCAAGGAGGAAAATTGCTGGGAGACAGAGGCAGATTTTTTTTTCTTGTTTTCCTCCCAAAAAAGGTAGGTGCATCTTATAATCCGGAGCATCTTATACTCCGAAAAATATGGTACATCTATTAATTGTACATTTTAACAGAGGTCATTAAATCTAAGGAAGTTGCATAATTTAAAATAAAATTAACTAATTGCTTTTTCCAAAGTGTTCAGACTAGCTTTTCATAGAATTCACATACAAGATATCACGTGCCATGTATGAATCAGTTTGAGAGTCCACCTTTAAAAGTGCTTATTGCATTATTACTTTGCTAAATTTCTATTTCCATGGTTTTAAAACATATCTAGCATTTGAGATCAATTATTTTTGACTGCTAATCCTCAAATTATGCAGGGACAGTATCTTTGATTTCTTTATGGCTGGCTTATCAAATGTTTGGTTTTTTTTGTTTTTAAAAAAAGAGCCAAAAGTGAACTGAAAATGAATCATACATGTTTTTTAAGTTCATTTCTTTATTTCCAACTATTTATATCTCTAAGAGCTAGAATCCTGTTTTAGAATATCTTTTGCACTTAACAGGAAATTGCTATCATATTTTATATATATTATTTTCTCGCAAAAGAGAATTCATAGAATCTTATGATTTTCTCAATTAATAAAATGCAAGACATTTATGTTCCTTCCCCCCCCCCCCTTGCTCCTTAAATTAATTCTTTTGCTTCCTGAAATGTGATTATCCTTCTGGTTCAGCCTTAGTATGTTTATAACATTAGGTTAATATTACTCTAATGAATGGATTTTAATATTACCCTATTAATAAGATGATATTAACTTTTGCCTCCTATTCACAGTCTAGGGAGAGGAAGGACAAAATATATGAATATCATTTGGTGTAATATAACCATAGATTCAATCTCCCAGTTCTCTTTAAAGAATTCACAGTGTCCTTCCAGCAAATAGATTCTCTAGCTCAAGGGCGCAAAAAGTGAAGCCCATCATTGCCTGTTTTGCAATCCCTACTTTAGATTTGTTTATAAAAATACAGTCATTCAAGTACTAGGTCTACCTACAGAAAGCATTAGAATTTCAGAAGCCAATCCAGTGATAGAAGGTATTATTTCCAGTTTAGGTTTCCTGAAATGACTCACTCAACTTGGTAGAAGAGGAAATAGAAAACTAGGTGTGGGGAGGGATTGTGTGATGATAATGATGATATTAAGTTAAATCACAATCTGGTTAGGTTAGGTTTTAAGTCATCTTTTCATTTGCAAAATGCTCATAACATCTAGTATTATTTTTAAATGAAAATGCTTTTTAAAGATAAAACAATTAAAAATATTAAAATATATGCAAATGCTACATTCATTAATGCTTAGTCTACATTGTCCACTGCTTTCCATGGAGCCTAAATGTGATTTAACAGCATCTAGATGGGCTAGTGGTTAAAGCATCAGGCTAGAAACTGGGAGACTGTGACTTCTTGTTCCCCTTTAGGCATAAACCAGCTGGGTGACCTTGGATCAGTTAGTTTCTCTCAGCCCTAGGAAGGAGGAAGTGGCAAATCACTTCTTAAAAAAAAAAAAAAAAACTTTCCAAGAAAACTGCAGGGACTTATCCAAACAGTTTCTGAGAATTGGACCTGATTGAATTTAAGAAAAAAATAAATAATCCCACTGCCTTTGCTCTGGTTACAGATGGCCTGTAGTATTTAAGTCTTGTATCCTGCTTTTCTAATAATGTAGAAATTAAATAGAAATTGTAGAAAGTAATAGTGTTGTGAAGTAGTCCAATATCCAGGCAGTGACTAGTTTTAGGGTGGCTTAAATTTATATTGTTACAGCTTTAGATTTTTCTGTATGCTATTCTGTAAATTTCACATTGTTTGCTATTGAGGGAGCACTATTCACTTCCTAAGGGAAAACAATCACTATGCTATACTGTATGCTAGGTTTTAGGTTTCTGTTTCAGTTTTATCTCTCTGACAGAATATTGTTGAATATTCTTTTGAAACTTTCACATGTGCAAAATGAGTACCCAGGGATTATATGCAACCTTCTGCATGCTTAATATCATATATCAAAGCATATATTTGGTTTCCACTGCAATCTCATACATAAAGTAATAGAGTTGTTAAAAGAAGTGATTCAAATAGAATCATTTGGATAAATCTGTATCGACTATTTTGTGAAATGTCATCATTTACATGTTGAATCTCTCAAATGTAGAAAATAAATAAAACATTAATTCTCCTTGCATTTTAAGAATATAATTCCACAAGAATTGCTGTTATAGCATTTTTATGTTTTAAAGGTGCAGATAAATTTCTCAAATCAAATCTTTGAAATGAATGGAAAGAACACTGCACAACTGCAATAATTTTAGAAGCTTTACATTTGGAAAATATGATTATGCAGACTCTTTACCATTAAATCAAGGACTGTCAAGGTTTCCTATTGACAGTCACCTAGACAATTTTAGCATAAAGAGTTGGATTTGCTGCCTTTGTGACTTTGTGAACCAGATATTGCCCAGAGGAATATGGCCGTCTTTGTAACACTCTCTTCAGCTTGTCTTAATCATGTAAATTTAGGATGTTCAGCAGGAATTATTTCATGTCTTTTTAAGGATTTAAATATGATCTGGGTTTCTCTGTGAATACTTGTTCTTTTTCATTTATTTAGTTATTTTGCGGTTACCCTTCCTTTCGTCCAAGGGATTTTACATTTTACCTCAGTACATTCTCTTTAAATAGAGCCTGTCTTTAAATAGAGCCTGATCTAGATGGCTGATCTAGATTTACTTCAATGCTTTATGATACTCTGTGAGTGATTTTAAATCCTGTCTCCCTGGTCAAACACTGACATGGCACTCACTATTTGATTCAAAGGTGAAATCAAAGTACACGTTTGAACAGAATTTAAAGATTTATCTCAGATGTTATGTAATTGTAGTCATTTAATAACCAAACTAAAAATCCAATGCTTTTTAGCTGCTAAGGAGGTTTCAGAGAGGCTTCTGTTCCTTATTGCCTAAAAAAACCTTTTAATATATTACATTCTAGTTTTACTGTTGGTCAACAAAATGCAACACATGTATGAAAATAGTTAGCATAAATATTTTTCTATGACATTTATCTCATCACCCACTGCTTGCATTTTCTTCTGACAGTCATCTGGGAATTCTTTCTTCACCATTCACCTTATCATTTCTGTAATGACCAAAACATAGTTATATACACACTGTGTATGATAACTGGCAGGTGAAATTCTGAAGAATTTCACATTTCAAAAGCCTACGATCTGTAAAGGATTGACACTAATGTGATGAAAGTTATTTTTCCTAGATGCTTCAGTTGTGTTTATGAAAAGCTGGTCAAGGAAGGAAACAGGAATTATTACTAATACAGCTTGTCATGACTTTAGAAATAGCATTTGAATTGCTTTCTTTGTGGAAGGTAAGCATTACAGATAAATGCTTCTGTCACTCAAAAGACAGCTCAACACAATGACAAGTCAGAACTCACATTCAATACTTTAAATTTTATCTTTTTTCTTTCTTGACACTTCTCACAATGGAAAAATGTGGAGTGGAGTCCCCCAGGGTTCTGTCCCAAAATAAGTGCTTTTTAAAGATATTTTATATGTGGCCTGGAATTGGGCATGACTAATGAAATCACCAACTTTACTGAGGAATCTAAATTGTTCAGAGTAGTAAAAACAATAAAGGACTTTGAAGAGCTCCAAAGGAATCTCTGCACATTAGCAGAGTGTGTGTCAAAATGCCAGATGTCATTCAGTGTGAGCAAGGGTAAAGTGATACATGTTTGTACCAAAAACCCTAACTCCTCATATAAGTTAATGGGATCAGAGCTAGCAGTGATTAATAAGGAAAGAGGATTTGCCAACATCATAATGCTCTTATA